TGAAAATGGACAAACTGTTAAAATTCATTATGAGATGACATCACAAACAGCTATAGATTTTAGTATGATATTTATTAATATAATTTTATAAAATGCTTATATTTGTGCATTGAAGCTGGTTAACTTGAAGGGTTCTTTGTTTCAGGGACAAAATTCTCAGGTACAGATTTGATTTTCCCATGAATCCAGTGATGAGTGTCTCAACGGAGAAACTCTTCCAAGGATGTTACATTTTCTTTCAAGAATTTCTCAAATGAACTAGTTTGTAAGTGCAAAGGAATTTTAAGCTCCAGTAGTCAGCAACTAAGGAGACCTGGTGGAGCAGTAGTTAAAGTGCTCAGCTGTAAAGCCAAAGGTTGGTAGCTGGAACCCACCAGCTACTCAGTGGAAGAAAGATGTGGTAGTCTGTTACTGCAAAGATTATACAGTCTTGGAAACTCCATGGCAGCAGTTCTACTCGGTCCTATAAAGCCAGTGTGAGTCAGAATTGAAGCATTGTTTTTTTTTTTTTTTTTTTTTGTTTTTTTTGATTTTGTAAGCAGCTCCTTGTGTGGAAGTGAGATTTTTATGAAGCCTCCAATTTTTTCAGACTGAAGTAAAATAAATTATGCTAAGTAGTGACTTATAAAATAGTCAAGATATAGTTATGGTTTATTACAAAAAATAAAATTTAAATTTTAGTTTTATTTTATTTAGAATTTAAAGTATATTTTACTAGTCTCAGACCTTGATTTTCCATTATCAACTTTTTTACATTCAAAGTTCTCCTGTGGATCAGCATACCCCAATGTGCATTGCTGGGAGCACTAGTACTGCAAAATGTGTCACAAAAAAATGTGCTATTCATTAAATACTTTTGGTATAATGTATAAGAACTTATTAAGAATTATTTTTAGGTGTGATTGTAGCATTATGATTTATTAAAAAAGGGTTTATCTTTTACAGATGCATGCTAAAGTATTTATGAATGAAATGATGTAATATCTGAGATTGCTTAAATATAATAAGGAAATTGGAAAAAGAATAGGTTGTGGATAGGGCAGGGTTAGCAATGGGTTGATGTTACTGGGTTTAAATGATGAGTACATGTAGGTTCATTATAGTAACCAGCACCCATTTGTGTATATTTTGTATGTACTAAAAATTCTTCATAACAAATAGTGAAAAAAAAAAAAAAAAGGTGTGTATTTCATCTCCCTAAGAGAGATATTACAATGCATGTAAGGACTCTGAAGAGTTCTGAGTTAAAGGATTCATTGGGTTAGTTGGGCGCTTCCCAAACTTGTCTGACCAGTAGACAATTCATTTTATAGAACACCTATTAAAGACTCTCCTTGACTTTGGGAATGGCTATAAAACAATACTTGTGTGTCAGTTTGTTGTTCTGTAGTGGTTTGAGTGTTGCTGTGATGCTGAAAGCTATGCCATTGGTATTTCAAATACCAGCAGAGTCACCCTGGTGGACAATTTCAGCAGAGTTTCCAGACTAAGAAAGACCAGAAAAAGGAGCAGGTAATCTACTTACAAAAAAGTTGGCTAAAGAAAACCTTATTAATAAAGGTAGAACGCTGCCTGATATAGTGCTGAAAGGGGAGCCCTTCAGGTTGGAGGCACTCAGAATACAATAGGGAGGAGCTGTCTCCTCAAAGTAGAACTGACCTTAGTGACATGTATGTTTCAGTAGCTTCCTTTGTAGATGTGGCACAACTCAAAATGTGAAGAAACTGCTGCAAATATCCATTACTAATCAAAATGTGGGATGTATGAAGTATGAATCCAAGAAAATTGGTTATTGTTGTTGTTTGCTGTCGAGTCGGACCAGACTCATAGCGACCCCTCCTTGGGTTTCCAAGGCAGTATCACCACTGAAGTAGATTGCTCCATCTTTCTTCCGAGGAGTGGCTGCTGGGTTTGAACCGCCAGCCTTCTGGTTAGTAGTCAAATGCCTTAGGCACTGCACTACCAGAGCTCCCAAGAAAATTGGTAGACATCAACAATGAAATGGAATGCATAAAGATCAGTATCTTAGGCACTAGTGAGATGTAATGTACTGGCACTGGACAAAGTAAAGTATACATTTTCAGAGATCTGGAGTTAGAAAACCAAAAGAGAAGAACACACTTGGCATTTCTCAAACTGAAAGAACTGAAGATAAAATCCAAGCTTCGAGTTGCAATATTGAAGGATTCTATAGGTAAAATATTGAGCTATCCAGGAACTATCAAAAGAAGATGGAAGGAATACAGAGTCACTGTACCAAAAAGGAACTGGTCAATATTCAACCATTTCAGAAAGTAGCACCTGATCAAAAACCAGTGATACTGAAGGAAGAAGGCCTAGCTGCACTGCTGCCATTGGCAAAAACGAGGCTCCAGAAATTGACAGAATACCAATAGAGATGTTTCAACAAATGGATGCAATGTGAGACATGCTCACTTATCTGGGCCAAGAAATTTGGAAAAGAGGTACCTGGCAAATCACCTGGAAGAGATCCATATTTTCACCCATTCTAAACAATGGTAACCCAAAGGAATGCGGAGATTATGGAACAATATCATTAATATCACATGCATTTAATTTTGTTGAAGATAATTCATAAACAGTTGTAGTAGTACATTAATAGGAAACTGCCAGAAATTCAAACCAGATTCAGAGGAAGACATGGAACAAGGGATCTCATTAATGATGTCAGATGGATTTGGCTGAAACCAGAAAATACAAGAAAGGTGTTTACCTGTGTTTTACTGACTATGCAAAGGTATTTGACTGTGTGGATAATAATAAATTATTGATAGCATTGCAATCAAATTCCTTGAATCTACAATCAATGCCCATGGAAGTACCAGTTAAGAAATCAAACAACTTATTGCATTGAGCAAATCTGCTGCAAAGTACCTCCTTAAAGTATTAAAAAGCCAAGATGTCACTTTGAGGATAAGGTGCACCTGACTCAAGGCATGGCATTTTCAGTTGCTTCATATTCATGTAAAAACTGGACAATGAGTAAGGAAGACCAAAGAAGAATTGATATACTTGAAGTATGGTGTTGGAGAAGAATATTAAATATACTGTGCCTGAAGAATGGATAAATCTGTCTTGGAAGAAGTACAGCTAGAATGATCCTTGTTGTTGTGGTTGTTATGTGCCATCGAGTAGGACCCGACTCATAGTGACCCCTCTTTGGGTTTCCGAGGCAGTATCACTATGGAAGTAGATTGCCCAACCTTCCTTCCGAGGAGTGGCTGGTGGGTTTGAACCACCAGCCTCCTGGTTAGCAGTCAAGTGCCTTAGGCACTACACTACCAGAGCTCCCAGAATGATCCTTAGAAGGGAGGATATCAATACTTACTTCATCTCATGAACTTTGGTCATGCTATCAGGAGGAACCAATTCCTCGAGAAGGTTATCATACTTGGTGAAGTACAAGGCTAGTGAAAATGAGGAAGTCCCTCAACAAGATTGACTGACACAGTGGCTGTAACAATGGTTCAAACGTAGCAACAATTATGAAGATGGTGTAGGACTGGACAGTGTTATCATTCTGTTGTGCATAGGGTTGCTATGAGTCAGAACTTACTCAATGGTACCTAAAAAACAACTACAACACAAAATAATAAAACTAATTTTTTTTTTTCCCAAAGGATCATTGTTCATGGTAATTCTAGGATTCAGGCATGTGAAAAGTTTTATATACATATTGAAAAATATTCTTATGACAGATAAAAAACAACAACAAAAAAAAAAAGAACAAATCCACTGTTGGCGAGTTGGATCTGACTCACAGTGACCCCTCCTTGGGTTTCTGAGGCAGTTTCTCTACACAAGTAGATTGCCCAACCTTCCTTGTGAGGAGTGGCTGGTGGGTTTGAACTGCCAGGCTTCTGGTTAGCAGTCAAATGCCTTAGGCACTACACTACCAGAGGTCCTTTATGGCAGATAGAAAATAAAAAATAGAAATCTTTTTATCATTTTCAAATTCTGAAAGATTTAAGGTATCTTTAAGTAAAATATCTGATTGAGTATAAATAAAATATCTGATCTATTACTAGAACAGCTGATCAATTTCACTAAACTTTACATTACACACACACACACACACACATATATATTAGAAATATTATTAAAGAAAATGAATCTTCAGAAACAAAGAGTGGATGGTAATACATATTGTAAAGATAAGAAACAATTTTGTTTGATTGAAAATCAACCATAAATTTCATTAAAACACTTAATAGCTAAATGGAAAACTGTTAAAACAAACAAACAAAAAAACATGTTATGTAACATCATTATTTTATAGCCTCAATATTTTTTTTATTTTTATATCTAAAATCTAATAATTTAATAAAATTGCATAAATTATTTTTCAAACAAGGGAAATTATACTATATAGAGATATTCATCAAAATAAAATCCCATAATTGCTGAATAAGATTTTATATAAAATTATATATAAAATGTTTTATGAATTTGAATGCCTTAGAAGCTATGTTTTAGTTTCTAAATAAATTGAAGGAATTTATTATTTTAATATAGATTATACATACCATTTGAACATTGCATCTAAATAGAAACAAACTTATTATTTATTGCTGTCCTTTTTAGCTTTTCAGAGGATGGAAAACTTTTTTTATTATTAACTTTTATGAAAATTCAAACAAGAACATTTGCATTTATTACAATATACTGCCAAAAATTGCATTAATTTCCTTTGATGCCCATTAATTTGATAAATGTTTTGTCATTTGTACCATTTGCACTGTCAAAACAAGTTAATTATATCTTACTGACATTTTTGACAATTGCTTTAACTCTGGCAAAAATAAGAGTGTCTTATTTGCTTCAACAAAAATCCACTCTTGCCTACTGAAAGCTTGAACTAAGCAAGAGAATTCCACCACACCAGAAGTCTTACAAGGTTCCATTTAGTGTCCATTATAAAACAATGATTCCCCAGGACTCTTTTATGGAAGTATTTTGTAGTAGAAAATATTATGTACCTGCATAATCTGTTCTTGCGTAATGCCCATCTTCGGATTTAGTAGTTGTAGTTGTGTTATCTGTGTTAAAATATGACAGTAACAATAAAGATTGATTAATTGTTTCCTAAATAGCTAATGTCAGCCTTATATTATACCTCCAATAATATCTCCATTGCAATTAAGGAATTGTTACAGCTATCATTCTAACCAATCTAACCAAAACAAGGACAGATTTGCATTGTCAGTTTCTATCTGACTGCAAAGAATAGAATGATGACTACTTTCTAAAATTTGGGATAAGGGGAAGGTTCTCAACTGCAACAGAGATAAGTGGTTTAAAAGAATGAGCAACAAACCAGAACAGTTTGGTCCTCAACAAGAAATGAAATAGACTATTGTGATTTGTCTGGCTTTCTGCTAAATGAGCACATAAAAGCAGAGTGACTTGCTGTTCATTTCAATGTTGTCTAATAAACAGTTTCTTTGCTAAAAATTACTTAAATTAAAAATCATATTTCTTTTTTCCTCTGTGAGGAGAATGTCTTTTGTCTTTTGCTCATGTCATTGTGAAGACACAGTCCCAACATACAGGAAAAACATATGGACTGTTGCTGATACTGTCTAAAACTCCTGTAATCAACACAAATGCTACAAGACTCTACTATCCTTTATAAACCAAAACTGTTTTTCAGAAATGAAATAGCTGCCTAATAAGGGGTTATCTACACTTTTCATTTCTGCACAAAGACTTAAAAACATTCTTTGAAATGAATTCTGGTATGAACATTACCTTGACATCGACCCAAAGACATGACTTCAATTTTCTCCTGTTTCTGACATGACGCTTCTTTGATTTGACATGCGTTATCATAAGATTTCCCATCAGAAGCGCAGAGGGGATTGAAGTTGGTTTGAGAGCAGTCAATGTTGCACACACACCTAAAGGAAGAGAGAGAAATCAAAATATGTAACATCAATAGTGTTGCTACCACATTATGAATAAAACACAAAGTGAAAGAATTGCTAGGCTGGCAAAATGCAAGTTGGCAAAATTGAATTGTATTGTTCCAGGGAAGTTTCTTTACTTTTCTATCTGAGATGAAAGGAAATACCGAATTAATAGGAAATAATTAAAACAATTGAGCAATGGATGAAAAACGAAAAGGGGAAATGCAGAAAATGATCATCAGTTAATCTCTGCCTGTGGAACTTCTAAAACATATACATAAAACTGCCCTGCTGAGGCCTGTGCAATTTGACTGAGGTAGCCAAGACACTCAGCTTCAGAATTTCCTTAAATGAAATCCTATTGTGTTATTTCTTTTCCAGAGATATTCGAATGGTTAAAGCTTCAGTAAGATGGCTCAAAGGACCAGTAAGAGAAAGCAAAAAAGTAATATTTGGAATCCAATCAGTAGTTACATTTCTTCAGCATAAATAAGGATACACATAAAACATGCAAAGTAGGAATTTTCAGTGGTCTTTAACTTGTTTGGAGCCACTGAGAATTAAATTAAAACTATCGATCTCTCCCCTAAACAATGCCCATATTCACATAAATAACCTTTTGCATAAAATTTCAGGAATTACATCGGTCCCTTGAAACTTACCCCATGGACATCATTCCCAGATACACAATGTTCTTTCCTGGTTCTATTTTTAAATAATAAATACAAGTTGATTTGTCACTCATGATTTTTAGTATATTCTCTATAATAATAAAAAAAAAAAAAAAACTGTAACTTAATAAGAATTAGCTTACCTGAGCTAGAAGAATTAGACATTCTAGTGCAAATTTTATATTTTTCCTATGTTCTTCTATTGTAATACTCTGTATTGTACTACATTATTTTTATTGAAAATATGTGTTATTTTGTGTGTGTCTGTGAGCAGGCCTTATGATACAAATTCCTCAAGTGCAAAGAAGAAAGGATACAGCACTCGTTCATGTTTTAAAATTTCATTAATGTTTGTATTATTTTTCTAAACAGATTATATGCCTCTTTACTTGATGCTGGACATATACATAATGGTAACAATAACAACCACCTTATCACTTGCTGGGTTTTTAACATACGTTGCTTTATTTAATCTTCACAACAGCAATTTTACACCAAAAGCACTACATGGATCAGGCATCTTGTAAATGGTGGAGCTATAGATGTATTGAACAAAAATCCAACCCCTCTCCACCATAGTCCATTTGTTGTTTTGTGCTGTGACATAGATTTCTGACTATAGGGGTTGTGTACCAGAATTTACTGGAGACCTTTTAAGAATACAGACTTATAAACAGGTTCCTGGTCCCCAGGAACACTGGGATAGACTCTAGGATTCTGTCATCTTCAGCAGTCATCCTCACACCAGACTCACTGCTTGGGAACCACAGCTTGAATTTAACAAGCTGTGATGAGTAAGAGAGGGTTTGTCTACAGCAGGGCTTCTCAGAGTGTAGTCCTTAGACCACCTGCATTGGCATTACCTGGATTGCTTGCTGTTAGAAAATGTGCTAATGTATCTTTTATTTATTTATTTAATTATTTTTTATGAGAACTGCTTTAGGAACACTTGGTTGTTTTCACGTTTACCTATTTAGGAACACATAGTGAGGACAGATGATGATCATCTGTAAGTAAGTGCTTACTTAAGTCATGAGGAGTGGTGGTCGTACCTCAGCCATGTTGTCGCCATATGATGACAGCTCCTGGGAGCATAACTGCTACATGACTGATTCCTGACACTTAAAACATCTGAGATCAGGAGCCGATCACTTGTTCAAAGAGATTTGGGTCCTTTTTTATTGTGTATTTGGAGAAGGGACTTTATAGATAAGGCTTGTTATCCTTAAAACTTTGTATTAAATAAAAAAAAGGAGGGTGGCCTTTTGTATTAAAAAACGTGGGGTGTATTTGAATGTATATACATAATATTTTTTGAAAGCGTATATAAGAAACTGATAACACTGGTTTGCCTGTGGGAGGTAAATTGAAGGAACTGTGGGACAGGAGTAGGAGGTAGACTTTTCAATTTAAAAATTAAAACCAAATGTAATTTGTATTGTGATTCAAGAAGACATTTATAATGAATAAAGTTTATGAATGTTAATAAAATGAACACCTGTGAAAACCAATACAAACCCACTGCTGTTGAGTCAATTTTGACTCATAGTATACCTGTGATCTCCTTTCCTTCATATTCCTTGGAAGGAAGGTTGGGCAATCTACTTCCATAGTGATACCGCCTTTGAAACCCTAGGAGGGGTTCCTATGAGTCAGGCCTGACTCTACGGCAGTGAGTTTGGTTTTTGGTTTGATAGAAGAGACTTCAAAAATTTGGTTATGCTGCTTTAAAACCATGTTATCTAGGGAGAGGGAAAGGTTTTAACTGGCTTACTATGGACTCATCATTTATATATTTATGTAAGAACAGTAAGCTATGATTATATGATCATTATTTACTATATTGTATGCATCTAAGTCTCATAAACTTAATTAATTAGAAAAGCATGCAGGATTCTAGGACCATGGATTGATCTCTATTGGTTGTGGTAGAATCATCTTTGTGGTTCCCACCCAACCCAATACCTTGCATGCACTAAGGAAGGTTGGGCAATCTACTTCCATAGTGATACCGCCTTGGAAACCCAAGGAGGGGTTGCTATGAGTCGGGTCTGACTCGATGGCACATAACAACAACAACAACAATTTGAATGGATAAATTAATTAAATCTATAACTCCAATAGCAATGATTTTATATTCTTTAAAAAAAGATAAATTATCATCACTATATTACTATAAACTCAGACATAGGACAGCTAATTTTCTTGGCAAATATTAAATGACCTCACTGAGATCAAATATTCAACTGAACTTGAGGGTAATGACAATAATAACAATACTAGCTTACTTAATGCCAGTGCCTGTCACAGTGCTAAATTATTCCTTTATTCCTTGTGATAGCTCTATGAGGTAGCTACTATTACTATCTCCATGTTCCAGAAAAGTGAGGCTTGAAGAAGTCACACCCCTTGTAAAAGGAAGAGCATAGTTTGAGATATAGGCAGGCTGACGCCAGAGTCTGTTTTGTTCTACGTGCTTCAAACACATCAGTAAACAAGATAGAGCCATAGTCTTACTATTAAATAATTAGAGGAACACTTTGGATAAATAGAATTTGGAAAACAAGGCTATGTCTTTGTTAGAATATTTATCATGATCATATGAATTTAAATCGCATTGAATCTGAGACTCTGCCTTTCCAAACAAACAATCAAGGCTTTTTAGTATCCTTGGAATATTTTGGTGAACATTGGCTTTAAGATATTCTCAATTAATATTTGATGTTAGACTAAGTAACTAATCTGATTTGTATTCAATTAATCTAAAAGAATAAATTGTTCAAAATATCCAATCCTTAAATAAAATTCTCTATAAAGTTATTTCCGTATGAAGACATACATCTACACACATACATACCACGCACACACACACACAAAGAACAACTGGCCCTACTGAAATTTTGAGATTAGAGGACTTTAGCAATGCATCTTTGCCAAGTTGTTTCAAAACTTGGAAAGACTAAATTTTTGGAAATTCAGATTCATGGGGCAGAGGGGTTTTATGTGTTTATTTGACTTAGTGAGTTTTTGTATGTGTGCATGTGCACTTGCATGCATGTGGGTGCATTTGCGAAAGTGTGCAGTGAAACTGTACATTTTTAATGTATCTATTTAAAAGTTTATATCTTTATTTATGTGCCACTTTCTCAAGAACAAAATATCTTATTTTCCTTTGAATCCCTAGTATCAAGCACAGTGCAACAGAGCAGGTCTTCAATAAATATTTGTTGAATGAATTACTGGATGGGATGGAGTTGGAAGGAATGAAATAAAACAGCCATTATGCTTGATATAACACCTGGAAGAGATAATCAGTGTCATGTTCACATAAATTCTTAACCAACTTTGGGCTATTTGGCTCATGGGGTCTCTAAGGAAGGAGAAGGAGGCTCCTGAAAGATTAGGGTCACTTCCTTCTTTTTTGCATTTCTATGAAGACAAAGAAAATAGAACAATGGCCCCAAAGCCTCAATGGTATGGAAGTCCAATGTGAAAAGATGTTTTAACCAGGTTGTTGTTGTTGTTGCTGTTATGAGCCTTCCAGTGGACCCCTCCTTGGGTTTCTGAGGCAGTATCACTACAGAAGTAGATTGCCCAACCTTCCTTCCAAGGAGTGACTGGTGGGTTTGAACCACCAGCCTTCTGGTTAGCAGTCAAGTGCCTTGGGCACTATGCTACCAAAGCTCCTACTTCTATTTTCTGTTATTTAGATGCAGTTTTTGGCACCAATGTAATCTGAACATGGTAGAGACTTGTCAGTTTATTGCTACTGGAACTTATTGAAAAAATAGAAACCTCTGGTAAAAAGTGACAGAATTATCATATAGTGTAATAGTGAAATTGTAGGTCATTCTGCGCTTTGGAAGTTTATGTAAATTAATCCAGGGTTTTCTTTCTACAGACATGAAAGGAGGACATTTTTTTTTTAAACAGAAACTATCCCTTCTTCATTGTTTTTGGCAAATAACTGCATTATTATTCATTCTGAGAGGAGTAACTTGTTAATTATAGCATGTCACAAGTATTTCATATGCGCCAAGAATTTGTAAAGCTGAGGATTACATGGATGCCTTTAAGTTGTTTTGTGTGTGTGTGTGTGTGTGTGTATGTGTATTTTCTTTTCTTTTCTTTTTCTCTTTTTCAACCTATCTCAGTCTTTTGACATTTTGACACTGCGATTACATAGATCTCTTTTCTTCTAAGCTACAAAGAAAAAGAATCAGCCTTACTTGAAAATAATAATTTCAGGGGCCTCTATGTGAAAATACTACCTATGAAAAACTCTTCAAGGAAAATTAAAATCGACTGAAAACCTTAACC